GGACCACCCCCTGCGCACCCTCTATGGTGTCGAGAAAGTGCCACGCCTACTATGCCCTGGACGACCGTCGTGCATAGCGGCCGCGGTGAGGGACCACCCCCTGCGCAGCCTCTGTGGTATCGAGAAAATGCCGCGCCTGCTATGCCCTGGACGACCGTCGTGCATAGCAGCCGCGGTGAGGGACCACCCCCTGCGCACCCCCTATGGCGTCGAGAAAGTGCCACGCCTGCTATGCCCTGGACGACCGTCGTGCATAGCGGCCGCGCTGAGGGACCACCCCCTGCGCACCCCCTATGGCGTCGAGAAAGTGCTACTCCTGCCACGATCTGCGAGCGGGTCACGGATAGAGGCCGCGCTGAGGGACCACCCTCTGCGCAACCCCTGTGGTGTCGAGAAAGTGCCACTCCTGCCAAGATCTGCGAGCGTGTCACGGATAGAGGCCGCGCTGAGGGACCATCCTCTGCGCACTCCCTGCGGTGTCGAGCAAGTGCCACTCCTGCCACGATCTGCGAGCGTGTCACGGATAGAGGCCGCGCTGAGCGACCACCACCCTCTGCGCACCCCCTGTGGTGTCGAGAAAGTGCCACTCCTGCCACGATCTGCGAGCGTGTCACGGATAGAGGCCGCGCTGAGGGACCACCCTCTGCGCACCCCCTGTGGTGTCGAGAAAGTGCCACTCCTGCCACGATCTGCGAGCGTGTCACGGATAGAGGCCGCGCTGAGGGACCACCCTCTGCGCACCCCCTGTGGTGTCGAGAAAGTGCCACTCCTGCCACGATCTGCGAGCGTGTCACGGATAGAGGCCGCGCTGAGGGACCACCCTCTGCGCACCCCCTGTGGTGTCGAGAAAGTGCCACTCCTGCCACGATCTGCGAGCGTGTCACGATAGAGGCCGCGCTGAGGGACCACCCTCTGCGCACCCCCTGTGGTGTCGAGAAAGTGCCACTCCTGCCACGATCTGCGAGCGTGTCACGGATAGAGGCCGCGCTGAGGGACCACCCTCTGCGCACCCCCTGTGGTGTCGAGAAAGTGCCACTCCTGCCACGATCTGCGAGCGTGTCACGGATAGAGGCCGCGCTGAGGGACCACCCTCTGCGCACCCCCTGTGGCGTCGAGAAAGTGCCACTCCTGCCACGATCTGCGAGCGTGTCACGGATAGAGGCCGCGCTGAGGGACCACCCTCTGCGCACCCCCTGTGGTGTCGAGAAAGTGCCACTCCTGCCACGATCTGCGAGCGTGTCACGGATAGAGGCCGCGCTGAGGGACCACCCTCTGCGCACCCCCTGTGGTGTCGAGAAAGTGCCACTCCTGCCACGATCTGCGAGACTGTCACGGACAGAGGCCGCAGTGAGGGACCACCCTCTGCGCACCCCCTGTGGTGTCGAGAAAGTGCCACTCCTGCCACGATCTGCGAGCGTGTCACGGATAGAGGCCGCGTGAGGGACCACCCTCTGCGCACCCCCTGTGGTGTCGAGAAAGTACCACTCCTGCCACGATCCAATAGAGGCCGCGCTGAGGGACCACCCTCTGCGCACCCCCTGTCGTCGAGAAAGTGCCACTCCTGCCACGATCTGCGAGCGTGTCACGGATAGAGGCCGCGCTGAGGGACCACCCTCTGCGCACCCCCTGTGGTGTCGAGAAAGTGCCACTCCTGCCACAATCTGCGAGCGGTCACGGATAGAGGCCGCGCTGAGGGACCACCCTCTGCGCACCCCCTGTGGCGTCGAGAAAGTGCCACTCCTGCCACGATCTGCGAGCGTGTCACGGATAGAGGCCGCGCTGAGGGACCACCCTCTGCGCACCTCCTGTGGTGCCGAGAAAGTGCCACGCCTGCCACGCCCTGCGAGCGTGTCATGGATAGAGGCCGCGCTGAGGGACCACCCTCTGCGCACCCCCACCCCCTGTGGCGTCGAAGGAATGCACTGTGTGCTATGCTGTGCTGTGCTGTGCTGTGCTGCTGTGCGGTGAGCTGTGCTGTGCCGTGCCGTGCCGTGCTGTGCTGTGCTGTGCGAGGGGGAGAAGGGGAGGGGGGAGGTGTGAGACGCGGGTGCGGCGCGGCAGGGAAGAAAACCAGAATCCCACGAAACATGTGGGGAATTACATTTCCCGGACGCATGCGGACGGTGGCACTGGGGCCTTGGGTGGAGCCCCATATGGGGCCACGAAACGCTCCACTGGGTGGGCGAAAATGCCAAATTGGGCTTCCAGGACGCATGCGGACGGGGGCACTGGGGCCTTCGGTGGATCTCCCTACGGGGCCACGAAACGCTGTACTGGGTGTGCGGGACGTATGCGGACGGTAGCGCTGGGACCTTCGGTGGGGCTCCCTATGGGGCCACGAAACGCTGTACTGGGCGTGCGGGACGCATGCAGACAGTGGCACTGGGACCTTCGGTGGGGCTCCCCATGGGGCCACGAAACGCTTTACTGGGTGGGTGAAACGCAGAGAGGATGGGGAGGAGGGCCACGAAACGCTGTGCTGGGTGTACGGGACGCATGCGGACAGTAGCACTGGGACCTTCAGTGGAGCTCCCTATGGGGCCACGAAACGCTGTACTGGGCGTGCGGGACGCATGCAGACGGTAGCTCTGGGACCTTGGGTGAAACGCAGGGAGGAGGGGGAGGAGGGCCACGAAACGCTGTACTGGGCGTGCGGGACGCATGCAGACAGTGGCACTGGGACCTTCGGTGGGGCTCCCCATGGGGCCACGAAGCGCAATACTGGGTGGGAAGGGGACGCATGCGGACGGTAGCACTGGGACCTTCGGTGGGGCTCCCTATGGGGCCACGAAGCGCTGTACTGGGTGGGTGAAACGCAGGGAGGAGGGGGAGCAGGGCCACGAAACGCAGTACTGGGTGTGCGGGACGCAAGCGGACGGTAGCACTGGGACCTTCAGTGGAGCTCCCGATGGGGCCACGAAACGCTGTACTGGGCGTGCGGGACGCATGCGGACGGTAGCACTCGGACCTTCGGTGGGGCCCCCTATGGGGCCACGAAGCGCTTTACTGGGTGGGTGAAACGCAGGGAGGAGGGGGAGCAGGGCCACGAAACGCAGTACTGGGTGTGCGGGACGCAAGCGGACGGTAGCACTGGGACCTTCGGTGGAGCTCCATATGGGGCCACGAAACGCTGTACTGGGTGTGCGGGACGCATGCGGACGGTAGCACTCGGACCTTCGGTGGGGCTCCCCATGGGGCCACGAAACGCTGTACTGGGTGTGCGGGACGCATGCGGACGGTAGCACTGGGGCCTTCGGTGGGGCCCCCTATGGGGCCACGAAACGCTGTACTGGGTGGGAAGGGGAGGAGGGCCACGAAACGCTGTACTGGGTGTGTGGGACGCATGCGGACGGTGGAGAGGAGGAGGGGGCAGAGGAGGAGAGGAGAACGCGGGGACCGTCTCTTCAAAACGAGGACCCAACACCACAGGATGGTTGGGAAAAAATCCTCCAAGATGGCTCAAGATGGCCTCCAAGATGGCCACGCTGGCCCAACATGGCCTCCAAGATGGTCCAAGATGGCCTCCAAGTCCGCCCAAAATGGTCCAGGATGGCCTCCAAGACGGCCCAAGAGAGTCCAAAATACCTCCAAGGTCGCCCGAGGAGCCTCCAAGACGGCCCAATAAGGCCCAAGAGGCCTCCAAGAGGTCATCCAGGAAGGCCCGAAGAGGCCAAAATCATGGATTGTCATTTGGTTGTTGAAGGATTTTGGCATTGGCGCCGTTTGGGCTTTCCGTCGGCCTAAGACGGGCCAAGACGCCCCCAAGGTCGGCCCAAGATCGCCCAAGAGGCCTCCAAGATGGCCCCATGACGGCCCAAGAGGTCCCCAAGACGGCCCCAAGAGGGCCCCAAGACGGCCCAAGAGGCCTCCAAGACGCCCAAGATGGCCTCGAAGACGGCCCGAGAAAGCTCACGATGCCTTCAAGTTCGTCCAAGAAGCCTCCTAGACGGCCCAAGATGGCTCCAAGATTGCTAAGACTGCCCAAGGGGCCAAAATCATTGATTGTCCTTCGGTTGTTGCCGGATTTTGGCATTGCCTTCGTATCAGCTCTCCGACAGCCCAAGACGGCCCAAGAGGCCCCCGACATCGCCCCGAGAGCGCCCAAGAGGCCTCCAAGATGGCCCCATGACAGCCTGAGAGGCCCCCAAGAGGGCCCCAACAAGGCCCCACGACGGCCCAAGTGGCTCCAAGACGGCCGAAGATGGCCTCGACGACGGCCAAGATGGCCTCCAAGATGCCTCCAAGACGGCCAAGAAGGCCTCCAAGACGGCGAAGATGGCCCCAGGATGCACCCAAGACGGCCCCAGATGGCCTGAAGATGGCCTCGAACTGCGCAAGGCCCGCCAGAGGCCTCCAAGACGGCCCAAGACCCCTCCAAGACGTCCTCCAGGAGGCCCGAAAGCTCGGAAACCACCTGTTCCGATAGCTCGCCCGACTCCGTGTTCCCCGAAGGCTTTCGAAGCCCGCTCCGGGAAGAACGCGTGGCCCAACAGCGTGGCCAAGCTCAGACCCAGCTTTCGGCCACGCAGGCGCTTCCAAGAAGGCAGGGGGCGGCGGTGATTCGCCGCAGGCGCCTTCGATGATTCGCTGGGCTTCCCCCATTTTCGCCAGGTGACGGCTGCCCGTGGCCGCCTCGTGGCCGGGTGGCCGCCCTTGGCCGCTCCGGGGCCGACCCCGCGCTGGCTCCCGTTTCGTTCGGTGGGCGCCCGTGCCGCCCGCGGCCGCCACGAGCAGCGGCCAGAGTCTCGTCCAGTGGGCGCAAAGGGCCGCTCCCTGCGTCTTACGCTAACTGGCGCTTCTGGATGTACCCGTAGCGCGCGCCACGTCGATTCGCCATCAAAGACTCCTGGATACGGACTTAGACGGATGCGACTCCAAATGCACGAATGACTGCGCACGAATGGATACTCATAAGGACGAGCAGGAGCAGGAGGATACGGGAGAGAAGGAGGAGGAGGAGGAGGAGGAGGAGCAGCAGCAGCAGCGGCAGCGGCAGCAGCAGCAGCAGGAGGAACCAGAGGCTGAGGTGGCTCGCGCTGTTGCTGCTGCATCATCTCTAGAGGTGTCCCCATGCAAATCCTGCGCTGAGCCAGGGCCGGGCAGCCCTCGTCATGGGGGCCCGCGACCCTCGGAGGATCGAGCTCCAGTGGTAAGGTTCCCCATGACAGCAAACAGCAGACCCTCCCAGCCGAAGGGGCGCGAAACTGGAAATACTTGCAATGCCCTGGAAACTCGAGGTTTCTGTTCGGCAAGTGCTTGAAGGAGGCGCCTGGCTAGGGGCGGCACCTCCGAGAGGGCGGACCCGGCGAGCCTGGGCTGCCTTGGTCACGGCTTCCCTTCGCCACGCCGCCGGCGCGGGTGCCGACTGGGAGCCCGGCGCACGAGTCCCCGGGACGCGCACCGTGACTCGGATTCTGCTTTGCTCCTCCGCCCGCTCCTCCTCTCCGTCCACATCCAGCCGTCATGGTCTTCGGAGCCCTGTAGAATAGGAGGGCTGTGACAGCTCCCCCGTGCCATGGCCGCACGGTCCTCGGTTCCATCGGTAGTACTGCAGGAGTCTTGGATTATTGCTGCTCAGCACTGAGAACTTGAAGCTCAGCGGAACATCAGGATTCCTGAATCTCGTCTGCCACAAGAGGGAATCCGCATCTGGAAAGAAGAAGGCGTGCCACAGATTCTCGAACGTCAGCTCCAAACCCTTGTGGAACCTCTTGGCCCAATCCCTTGCGTTGGCCCTTTCCGATGTGTTCCAGTGATCGTTCACGCTCAGGTCCACCCACGAGACAAACCTCGTTCCCAGCAGGAGCTCATAGTTGCTCCGGGTGCAGAGCGCCCTCCAGACGCGAGCCCACCAGGCCTGGGGACGGCGCAGTGCGGCCTCCCGCGTGAAGGCGATCTGAGCGTAGTCGTAGCCTCCAAAATCGTCGACCTCGAGATCGAACGGACGCTCAAAAACCAGCCACCATACGAATTCGTACCACAAGCAAAAATTCCCAGAGGGTCCTCTGTCGCTCGTACGTTCTAGCCGAGTCACGCCTGCGAACACGCCCTTTCCTGTCGCACCCGCAGCACCAGGTCGAACCGAGCAGTATGTCCGCACCTCAGACGCGACGCGGCCGTTCTCGTCCTCGGGGCCGTTGTGCCTGTGCCCCAGGTGTAGGAATGAGGTCTCTGCTGGCCACTGGCGCAAGGACAGAGACTTCAAAACCGTCTCCATGGCGTTCTGCGAGACGTGCTCGTAGAAGTCAGGGTGGAGGAGAAGAACCACGTCAGGCAGGTTCTGGTGGTGCGTCGCGACGTGGTGAAGGATGCTCGTCTCCTCGGACAGGTGTATCTCCTGGTGGAACGGCACCACGATCAGCTCGCCGAAGCAATCCGCCAGCTGGCGTAGCCACTCGAACTGAGGATCGCGGCGCCACCGCGCCGCCGCCTTCTGCCGCATGGCAGTCTCGCCCGGCTCGGCGATGCTTATCTCGACGTCGTTCCTCATGCTGTACAGCTCGAAGCTGTCGTGCGGCAGGAGGCTGTAGCAGAGATCGTACACGAACAGTTTGCACCACTTCATGCGGGCCGGCTTGAAAAAGTCCTGTATGGCCGTATCGATGTGAGCGGCGTCGGGAGGCCAGCAGATCGGTATGACCAGGTGGACCCCGAACCCGTCTCGATCTCTCCTGGCGACGACCCTCTGCAGCTCCGCGGCCCGCGACTCGACCCGCGAAAAACCCCTGAAGACGAGGGCACTCAGGGCAGCCTCTTCCTCCTCCTCTGCCCACTCGGCCGACCGCGGACGACGGCCCGCGACGGTCGCATTGCTGGCGGGCCACCTCCGGGCCCGCCACAGGAGCAGCCAGAAGGAGCGCAGCTGGCGCAGCTCCCGCAGCGTGCCCCCCAGCGGCACCTGGTGCAGGCCCTGCTCGAGCCGCAGCAGCTGCGCCAGCACGGCCGCTGCCGGGCACATCGCCAGCCCGTCCCTCCCCCGGGCCGCGAGGCCCTCGAGGATGGGCAGGAGGGCGGGCAGGGCGTCGCCCGTGCTGTAGAAGTGGTCCGCCAAGCACCTCAGGTCCGAAGGCCGCATGGGCGGTGCGGCGACCGCCTTGCAGATGTGCCGCGAGAAGACCTCCTCAATCCACAGCCGCGTGTGGCACTGGCCCGCGAAGACCGGCTCCGCTGTCGGGGGGTCTGGCCGTGCACAGCAGCGCCAAAAGAACTCCAGCTTGGTCTCCTGGGGGGTCCAACACAACGGCGGCGAGTACACTGCGCAGCACGCGGCCCGCACCTCTGGCGTGGCCACGCAGAGGCTCCCGCGCTTCTCCTCAACGCCTGCGCCGGCGGCGGCCGCCCGACCCAGACGGGTGCAGCAGCGCTGGAAGGTGAAGCCACCGCGCCAGCAGCTGCCATGGTGCCCCTCCGAGCAGCACATCCTCTTCACCAGCGAAGGCCGCTCTAGGAATATCCTCTTCCAGTCCGGCTGCTCCAGATCCGCCTCCCCGCTCGCCATGATCCACCCCTCCCGCTCGCCCTCCTCGCTGTATCTCCAGCAGCGCGGGTCGCCAGAGTACCACGGCTCCGCTTCATCGCGACCGATGCTAGCGTTCACCTCCGCCGGGCTTGCGCGGAGGAAGGGGCCTGCGCTCTGGGGCCGCAGCGGGAGGAGCAGCAGCAGCAGCGGCCGCAGAGCCCAGGCGCGAGGCGCGAGGCGCAGGCCGTGCGCGCGCCTGCGAGGGCTGCGGCCCCCGGGGGACGAGCACGGCATGCGCGCGGGGACTGTGCTGCGCGCGCTGCAGGACGGCCTGGGTCAGAGCGACTTGAGCCAACCGGCTCGAGCCCGAAAGACTACGGAGGGGGGAAGATTGCAGTGCACACTGTTTCATGCTGAGCCGCGTGGCTTGACGCGCGAGTCTCAGCCTCTGGCCTGGTGGGTGATTGAGATTGGCCGCAGCAACTGCAAGGAAGGACTGTCAGGCAAGACACTGAAGCTTGAGATGCACAACGGCTGCAAGATTGGAGCATAGTCCGTTGTCAAAATGGGGCTCTCGCCGTAGCGCCGCGCACCTTTGTCTCAAAAGCTTGGGACACTTACAAGGACGAAGCACAGGTGAATTCAAAATTGCGGCGCTCGCGTTGGCGCACATTCGTCTCACAAGACGGCAACAGTTACAAGGATGGAGGGCGGTTCCTTTTCAAAATAAGGAAATAAGGATCTCGCCTTAGCGCCGCGCAAATTCGTTTCACAGGGTCGCAAAGTTACAAGGATCGGGGACGGATCCTTACCCAAATGGGGTTGTCCCTTGTGGCTTCCTGAGATAGAGAAATCATAACTTCAACATGTGTAGTAGCTGAACGGATGGAAGGCAGGACGGCTCCTTTTCAAAATGGGGTTCTCGCTTCGAACTTCCTCGGGCTTCATGACCAGAAGTGTAAGCTTGTGCAACAGTTACATGGCTGAGGGACAGTCGTCTTTTTTCAAAGCTGGGGTATCGCTGAACACCTCGCTAAACTGTTTGATCATACCTCTTCGCAATCCTGGGCTACGCGCTGGAAGGATGCAAGCCGTTCATTTTCAAAATGGAGCTCTCGACTGGCCGGCAGACCCATAGGGTGCAGGTGTTTCAAGAGGGCGCAGTGGCCAAAACATTAAACTGCAAGGAAGTGCGGACAAGAGAGGGGCAGCAGTAAATGGACAAGGACCAGGTGCCCGTATGAACAGAGTAACAGAGCGAACAGTCTATGAGAGAGGAGGGGGGAGCACGACCATAGCAATGACCATAAGATGATCAGAAAATAAACCACGACACTCGTCAAAATACTTGTCGAAATACTGCGGGCAGCAGCTGGTTGTGGGCCTTGCTATGTCTTCTCCGATTGGAGGCTGGCGTAAGTCGCTGCTACTCGACAGTCCACAGTGGGGTGGGCCCAAACGTAAGGCACAACCCCGGCCGAAGGCCAAAATGACCACCGTAGCAGCTCACAGCAGCACCCACCTGAAAGCACAACCAAGTAGACAGCTGACCAAGGACAAACTGTTTCATGTGGTGTGGGTGCTACTGCTGGGCTTGGATACACCTGGCTTCAACATCAGCTCGCCCTCTCCCTCGTCCTTATCCTCTTCCTCCTCCGCCTCCTCTTCCTCCTCTTCCTCCTCCTCCTCCTCGCAGAGTGCCTCTTCTTCCTCCTCGTCCCTCCTCCTCCTCGTCCCTCCTCCTCCTCCTCCTCCTCCTCCTCCTCCTCCTCCTCCTCCTCCTCCTCCTCCTCCTCCTCGCAAAGGACCTCCTCTTCTTCCTCCTCGTCCTCCTCCTCGTCTTCCCCTCGCAACTCTCAGCTCGGGGCCGAGGGGCCCACTGTGCTCCGCCGGGGCGTAGGCCGCCACGACGCCCTGGATGCGGGGGCGATGGCGCACAACGACGAGGAATACGATGACGACGACAACAACGAGGAATACGAGGACGAGGAGTACGAGGACGAGGACGAAGACGAAGACGAAAACGACGACGGCGACGACGACGACGACGACGACGAGGAAGAGGATGAGGACGGCGGCTACGGTGACCGCAACAGCGACGACGATGACGACTGCGTAGGGAGGGAGGACTCCTTGATTTCCATATTATTTGGATGCTTGGAGAAGTCTCTCCCCTCCAGTCATTGGAGCGTCCTCGACGGCCCAAGAGGCCCCTAACGACCCAAGACGGCCCAAAAGGTCCACAAGACGACCACAAGACGGCCCAAGAGGACCCCAGGATGGCCCCAAGAGGGCCCCAAGACAGCTCCAAGACGGCCCTAGAGGACCCCAAGAGAAGCCTGAGGCGGCCCAGGGGAGCACCCAAAACGACCTCCGAAAACACAAGATGGCCCAAGAGCGCCCTCAAACAGCCCAAAATATCGACAATACGGCCAGAGAGGGTCCCAGGAGGCCCCCAAGAAGACCTGGCCAGAGCCACAACTTAGCCCTAACGAGGCCTCATAGGGCCGTTCCCCAGTGTTCCCCGAATGCTTTCCTCAAACGACTGGGGTAACACGCAGTCCACCAGCATGGCAGGACGTTCGGCCGACATTTCACCACACAGGTGTCACCAAAAGGCAGCGGACGTCGACGACTCGCAGCAAGCGCCTTCGGTACTCGTTTGAGGGGCCAGACCCCCAGCTCACGGAATTTCCAGGCGCTGTCTCCCCCCGTGACTTTTGAAGCCTCGGGAGCTTGGTTCGAGACCTCGCCCTCCAACGTGCCCTGATGTGATCCGCCTGGTCTTGGCTGGAGCGCCCTTACGGCCTCTTGGATTGTCTTGGAGGCCCTGTGGGCTAGCTCAGGAGTGCAAAATTAGTGAGAAGCCAGACGCTTCGGCATATGGATAACATGACCTGCCTTTCGGTCATGAGAGCGTCGAAAGCGAAGGACACCCAAGAACGTCCCAACACGGCCCCAAGCATCCCAGAGGGGCCCCAGAGGCCCCTCAGAGGCCCCACGACCGCCCCAAACGGGACCCCGAATGGGGAATATGAACTTGCATCGGGAGTCCTCCACTGCAAGATGGCCTCCGAGACCGCCAGCAAGACCACAGGAGGCACCAAGGAGGCCCCCAGAGTGCCCCAAGAGGCCTGCAGGAGGTCCTCCAAGACACCGCAAGAGGCCTCTAATACCACCAGCCCTCTGGGAGTGCGATTTAGGGCGTTTCCTCTTCCAACCCCCGTTCTTCCCTTTCAGGGAGGGGTTTATCACTGTTACCTATTAGTAAACACCCCATCCCCCAAACGACCGACAGCCAACCCGAACCAATGAGCCCCCCACCATCCCTTGTCAAAATTATGTTGCCTCGAACAATCCCCACCGAAACCGTCGGCGTTTGATCCCTAACGTGCGCGCGCTCATTGGCCCGATGTGCGCGGGGCTCGGCGGGCAGAGTGGGCGAGTCGGTGCGGGGGTGTGGTGTTGGTGGTAGCTTGTGTTGGTTATGCAGAGTGAGCGTTGAGACCGCACGGGCGCGCTTATGGTGTGTTGTGAGTTCTGGTGTCATGATATGCACTGTGTGACCAAGCATGTCATAGCTTATGGTGTTATGATATGATGTGCGTTCCTATGTGATAGTATAGTAGATCGCGTTATGCCACGTTGTGAGTTGTCATGGTATGGATGTGATGGGGTGATGTGTTATGTTGTCGTGTGGTATGTCAGTGTATAGTACGTGTTGCTATGGTATGCCATGATATGCTATGTTATGATATGTTAGGCTATGGATGCTCCGATGTATCATAGCATGCGATGCTATGATGTCTCGTGGTATGATACAATGTGTCATGTTTGCGATGATGTGGCATGCTGCGTTTGGCTATGGTCAGGTCTGCGTTGCTGTGTTATGGCATGTTTGATGTGTCATGGTATGTAATGAAATGTTCTGCGATGCTGTGCTATGGTATGCACTGGTCTGCCATGGTGGGCGTGTTATGTTACGATATGGTCTGCCATGACATGGTAAATTATGCTCGCATATGTCATGTTCGGTGGTGTGATGTTGCGGGACCCTCAGGCATTATCGGGGGACCTGGGGATCTGGCGGCCGCAGTACGCAGAGTGGGCAAGTCGGCGCGGGGGGCGGGACCACCAGGGATTATCGGGAGCATGGGGATCTGGCGACCGCAGTATGCAGGGCGGGGAAGGGGCGGGACCACCATGGATTATCGGGAGCCTGGGGATCTGGCGGCCGCGGTATGCAGGGCGGGGGGGGGGCGGGATATCGGGAGCCTGGGGATCTGGCTGCGGTATGCAGGGCGGGCGGGCCAGGAGGCTTGTCCTTAAAATCAAACGAACCCAACCTGTCGGGTGGGGAAGAACAAGCGGGAGCCGTTGTTGTTGTTGAACTCTCATTTCTGAAAATAAATATTGTTGATCTCCCCCACCGGTGCTTACTGTATTTTCTGAATCAAAGTGTGCCCCTCGACGCTCGCACTCTGTTTCTTGACAAAAAATGTCTTGATGTTCAAACTGGCCCCTGGCCCCCGGGTTACAACAACAGCGGCTCCCGCTTAAGACTTCCTCACAATTTAGCCAAGACACCCGTTCCCGCCCGAGACTTCCTCGCATGTTATTCAGGAAACGCGCTCTCGTTCGGGACTTCCTTACAATCTATTCAAGAATCGCTCTCCCGGCGCTCTGGAGCCGCGCTCTCGCTGGAGACGCGCTTGCAATGTACTGAAAAATAGCGCCCTTGCGTCGGAATTTCCTCCAATTTGCTCAAACGCCGCGCTCCCCACACCCAGGCACCCAGAAGTCGCGCCCGTTATAATCCCATGTGCGTGCCCTTCGTGGCCCCGTTGTCGCCGTCTGTGGCCCCATCACTGTCCTGCGTGGCCCAGTTGCTACCCTCAATGGCCCCATCGTTGCCTTCTGTCATAGGAAGCTTCCGGGCGCCTTCCAATCCCCCCGCGCCTTGTTTCCGCACCAGTCTCCGCTCGCATCCACCTGCCCCCACTTTTCAACGTTCTTTCCCAGTCTTTTCTACTCTTCCCCTTTATTTTCATGTTCATTTCGTTCGTACTCCATTGTGCCATTCCTCAGTTCTTCGCATCCCGCCCACTCCCCCCCAGGCCACCCCATCCAACCCCAACAATATCCACCCCTTCCCGCTCGCATTCCGCATTTCTCCCAAATTGTTCCCAGCCCCTCCTCCTGATTCCTCCGCGCGCCCCCCGCTTCTCCGCACTCCTCCCGGTTCCTCTTTTCCACTCCTTGCCGCTTCTCCTCCTGAGACCCCACTCCTGTTCACTCCATCCCAATCTACTCCACATCCCCGCGCCCCTCTCGACACGTTTGCATTTATCACGATCCTTCCGCCCCACTCTCCCAACATCCCGCTTCCTTTCAAGGTTTCACGAAATTTGTTTCTGACACCAGTTCGAGGCTGTACGTCCCCCCGTGGGGGTATCAACGATATGTTTTTTCAAAGGAGTGGTACGTGGCGCTGTTTATGGCGCGACCCATGGCGAAACTTATTGTTAACCTGTGTTGGAGTGGCTGGCGCAAGCCATGGCGCAGGCTGAATCGCCACCCACAACGAAAAATCATCGTCCTCCCTCCTTCTTGCCCCACCCCTCCCTTCCTCCGATCCCTTCGTCATCATTCCCCCCTTATCTGTCACCCTTCGTTTTCAAGGGCTTCACCAAACACACGTGGCAGGGAATGAAAATACCCCCCAAAACGGGGCACGATCGAAGACGAAGAGGGCGAGTACCCAGGGTTTGGGATACGCATATTGAATGGCACGCGAGCAGATAAGAGCGAACAGTCTTAAAATGACTGTCGCTGTTTCTGTTGTAACTCGGGGGCCAGGGGGCCAGTCTCGCGACCCCAGACATTCCCTTATAAAAACTGGGTGCGAACCCCAGGAGGGACACCTCTTTTCTATTGTTCTTTATGTGGAAATAAATGATCACTGGGTCAGGAGGGATCAACAATAATCCAACCAGCCATCTGGGCGCGTGCTCAGATCTCCGGAAATTGGTAAACTGCATTTCTAGCTCGCGCGCGCGGGGCCGCCCCTGGAGGCCCCCAGACGAAAAATACCCGCAAGGTCCCGGGCAGGTCCCAGGCGGGCCCCAACAAGGTCCCGGGCAGGTCCCGGCGAGGTCCCGGCCAGGTCCCAGCAGGCTCCCAAAAGCGCTCCAGGGGCGCTTCAAGTGGCCTCCAAGAGAGAGCTCAATATGGTCCGAGGCTGTCCGGGAACGGTCCAAAACGGTCTTGGCCCCGCGTTGGCCTCCCGAGGGGGTGTGGGGAGGCTAATTAGGGACCCCCCCTCTCATCTGATCGATCTCGCCCAGGATGGCGCAAACCTGACCCCGATGCCCCCAAGAGGCTCCCAAGAGACCCCCGGGAGGCCTCCCAAAGGCGCCCAAGACGCTCCAAGAGGCCTCGGCGAGAATGCAAGAAGTATTGATGTCACGATGGTTTTAGGCACATGCTGGCTTCCTGGGGGACTCCAAGAGCGCCTGGGAGAGCCCAAGATGACCTCCAAGATGACTCAAGATATCCTGAGATGCCTCAAAATGGTTCCCACGATGTTCCAAGATGCCCCAAGACCGCTCCATGACGGCTCCGAGTAGCCAAAGAGCTCCCCCTGGAGGCCCCGAAGAGGCCCAAATCCTTCCAAAACCGTGCGAGAATCAATGTGTTTGGCTTTTTCGCCCTATCGCTTCCGATGGCAATCCGAGGCCTCAAAATGGCTCCAACATGGCCCAAGAGGGCCCCAAGAGAGGCTCAAGAGAGCCCCAAGACGGCCCCAAGAGCGGCCAACAGCGCCCCATCAGCGCCTCAAGAGAGCCCCAAGAAACGACTTTATGGGCTCCCGAGGGAGAGCGCTAATAAATGTTTGTTTCCTGTTTGATCGA